AAACAAAATGCTTTGTACAGAAAGGACTATCTTTCAAGTGCACAGGAAGCCCACAGAATGGGAATATCTCTACCAGCTTTACATCCATGGAATAGCATTTAGAACATACAAAGAATGCAAGAAACTAAACACTGAGACATTATGCATGCCATCAGGGGCATGCAAATTAAAACTGCTATGAGATTTCATCTTACCCAGTCAGAATGGCCCAAACCAGAAAGTTTTTAAAATGACAGCAGATACTGACAAGGATGTGGGGAGGAAAAGGAGGACACTCCCTCACTGATGATGGAAGTGAAAACTAGTGCAGCCACCAAGGAAGTCAGTGTTGAGGATCCTCAAAAACTGAAACTAGATCTACCACACATTGTAGCTCCCATTCTTGGGCATGTATTCAAAGGACTCAATATATGTCACAGAGATATTTGCTCATTCATGTCCATTACTGCTCTCTTCACAATAGCCAGGTAAAAAAGTCTGGATGCCCACCTGCTGATGAAAAAAAAATAATCCACAGAAAAGTAGATGGAAATGGAAACTATCATCCCAAATAATCACATGGAAACTTATTCTTCCTTATGAATGCCTGGCCTTAGCTTGGCTGATTTCTAACCAGCTTTTCGTAAAATATCCCATCTACCTTTTGCTTCTGCGTTTTTACCTTTCTCTGTTTCTGTATATCTTTTTTTTTCCCTTCCATGTGTGGCTGTTTGACAGCGTCTCTCCTTTTCTCACTCCTCCTTCTTTTTTTCTCCTTCTATTTATTCTCTCTGCCTGCCATCCCTGTCTATCCCTCTCTTGCCTACCTATTGGCTGTCCAGATCTTTATTAGAACAATGAGGTGTTTTAGGCAGGCAAAGTAACACAGTTTCACAGAGTTAAACAAATGCAACATATCTTTGCACTGTTAAATATTCTGCAGCATAAATAAATGTAACACTAATATTACACAACACACTTATATGTCCTGTATATTGGGAATCACCAGTAGGAACCTACATCAATTTTAACCTTTTATCCAGAAATTGATATTTAGTAGAAAAAAAAAAGCCCTAGAATTTCATAGAATAGTGAATTATAGAAGAAGTTACTACTGCTTAAATTGGTGGCTTGGTCCCTATGGGGAGGGTCTATGCATTGTGGGGAAGGGCCACGGTTCATGTTGAATCACAGAGTCAGGGCAGGATAGAGTGAGTACAGGGTAAAAGTTGGAAGCATAGTAAGCAAGGCCTTCCCAGGGTAGGCTGATGCCATTGAAGGGACATTTACTGTCCTGTGAGTCATGAAGTGAGGAACACTCTTGATGCCCTGTGAGGAAAGCACCTTTTCAAGTGTCTCTGAACTGTGTGTCAAAAGTTAGGGGCGCACATACCACCAAGTGCTCTGTCTTGTGTCACTTCAACCCCACACACCTTCACACTCCTCACCAGCCCACCACTTCCTTGTGCCTACCTGCTTCATCACTGTGCCCATATGCCCCCTTGCAAATGCACCAAGACCATAAACTGTCTTTGTTGTAGGTGTTCACAGTCACATGCTCCATGATGAGCCTTGACAAACAACTCACCCTGACCACCAATGGAACTCACCTTATTATTGTGAGCTCTGAGGGCTGCACTGTCCCACAGGTCTTGCAGACCGCTTTGGACTATGGTGTGTCCTGTGACATGGCTTGCTATGTAGTGGTCCATCTCCAAACAGATGGCACCAGCCTTGCCAGATGGACTACAGACGGTAGTGTGATCATAGCTCCCTGGGGTGCCATCTAGGGAACAGTGACTTGGGGTCTGTGTCATGCTTTGTGCACCATCTCTACTCTTCACTCATGTTTTCTAAATCCTAGGATAGAAGTTTCTGGTACTTCCTACCGCAGGGGCAAGCACTAGGGACCACTGCTTTCCTCACCTATAGGGGTTTTGTGTTGACAGGGTGTTATGTAGCTCAGGCTGGCCTTGAAGTTCTTCTATAGCTGGGGGTGATCTGTAACTTCCTGTCTTGACTAAGATTTCAGGTGTGTACCAGGTGTTATGGCTAATCTTGGTTATCAACTTGACTGCATCTGGAATCAACTAAGCTGCTGGGCATGCCGGTGAGGGGCTTTCCTGATTAGATTATTTCAAGCAGAAAGACCCACTCTTAATGTGGGCAGCACCTTTTGGTAGTAATCCACATAAATGACATGGAGGAGGGAAACGGCTTTGCCCCTACTCTTGCTGCAAGTTCACCTATCCTGTTGCAGAAGCCACCTCTTCTTGAGCATTCCAATGTAGACTGAAGACCAGCAGCTCTCCAGAAATCCTAATTGCTGCACTGAACAGCCACCTACATAATCTGTGTATAGTAACTAGCCTTGTTCTCAAATTTGTGAGAGATTTAAAATTTTAAATAAATTTATTCTACCAAACTAGTTTCTAAAGTTTGCTTTGGGAAATAGCTTTTGTATAGTTCTTCTAGGTTATGATAAGTGTTGCTAGCACTGTGTATAAGAGCCTCATAAGCTATGCAAACCTTCTAAATATTGATAGGTATTTAATAATATATATCTGCACACAATTACTTAATTTTCAAAACAGCTTTACTCTTGTCCATTGTGGTTTTTGAAAAGGCTTCTAATGAAACTGCTGCAGAAGTTTATAACTAAATCTTATGGTTCTGCTCTAACAAACCCAAATAACATTTTTAAGAGGAGGACAAGCAGAATGAACCCCAGTCCCCTAAGAGCTACTTACTTCTGTGTCTCGTGTGTGTTTAAACCAGGCCTAAGGATTTACAGGCACTAATTCCTCAATGTCTGTCACTTGCCCCTCCCCCAACCAGGATGGAGCTTTCCCTGGCATCCTGGGACAGAGAACAAACAACCAGATGGTCCATCAGCAACGTTTGCCTAGAATATTGCTTCAGACATTGACATGTTCCACCAGCAAGTGTTAAACCAGCAAGTGAAGAAATGTAACCAGCCTGGCAGAACATTCTCTCTTTCTCTCTCTCTATCTCTCTCTCTCTTTTTCTCAACATCCTGTTAGCTCATTTGATAATGGAGTTTGTACAACTGGGGAAATGATTTATTATCAGAAAAAGTTAATTTTTTTCACTTATAGTCTATGTCCCAAGAATGATTAAGACTTAAAACACTTAACACTTGGTCATCTATAGTACTGAACAATGCTGTATATGCTTACACTTTATCTCAAAGTATGTTTATTTCATACTATATGGACATCTATTTTTATGAATCAGAACGATGACTTTTATAAAGGCATTCTCAACCAGCCTGCCTCCATCTTATGCTTGGAAGCCATCTTGTATCACAAATTAGGTTCATTCCTGTTTATGAATAGATCTGTTTCTCAAGGATTGGGCTGTAAGACCCTCAGAATGAGGAGTCTCCCTGTTCCAGTCGGTTCCCCCAAGAACTCAATGTCCACTCCAGTTGATGCAACATGCAAGAGGCTTTAATGGATGGGAAATGTTTGCGCAAATGGGCCGCTTAGTGTCATTCTCCTGGCAGGGGTATTTTTAAAGGCAAGAACCACAAGCTCAGGGAGGGGCCGTGACCCTCTGACCATTGAGTACGTGACAAGAGTCATGGGTTCTAGCATGCTCTTTATCTTTTTGAGGCCAGATGGTCTCTGTTTAGGTCAGCAGACCTTGGGGCATGCTAATCAATTTTGCCTAAGCCAACGGGAGTTGCAGCTATCTCTTTGTTTCTCAAGGACCCTATTTGTTATCTGCTGACACATAGACCGGAGGGGCAGTTTGTTTCCCCTTGAGTTCCCTGGGGGAGGGTGACCATCTGGAAATTCTTGGTATCCAGCTATCTTAGGGCCTTGTAAGGGAGAGGTTGTGGGTGGTTAGCAAATTCCAGGAACTAAGTCACAGTGGCCTTAGTCAGCTTTCTGGGTCAGACTGCCCTGCATTCCAATTATTTGGGCTCCATTTCATTTCTTTGTTAGTTTAAGTCTTTCAGGGCTATGCCCCACCTCTACCCTTAACTACAAATGGTTCTGCACTTGCTGAAGGTTGTCGGATATGTGGGATTAACAGTGGCGCACACCTTTGACCCCAGCACTGGGAAGGCAGAGGCAGGTGGATCTCTGTGAGTTCGTGGCCAGCCTGGGCTACAGAGAGAGTTTCAGAACAGCCTGGGCTACATAGAAAGACCCTTTTGGGGGGGGGGCTGTTAAAAAAAAAAGCATGATACTATTTCCATTTATAGACACGTATTAGATGACATAAACTTAAGTAGAAGGTTAACCTTAAGTAGAAGGTTCAGTGTAAAACGTGTGGGGCTGGTTTCTCCGCAGGAAACTGCTGAATTTGCCAGTCTGTAAAGTCACCTATGGTTGGTGACATTCGTTGTCGCTTAGGGTCTGAGAAGGTGGGACGGGAAGCCCTGTGTCTGGGGCGGTCCCTGTGGTGAGGAACGTCCAATCAAACGCGCAGGCCGAGGGCGGGGGCGGGCCTTCAGTCTTTGGAAGCCCCTGGCTCTCTGAGCGCCACCTGTTCGCCATCTTGGGTCCTGTCCAGGTGTTGGCCCTGCGGCTCTCCGCGTGAGTGCTTCCACCTGGGCGCCCCGGGATCTGGAGATGGTGAGTCTGAGGCAGGTGGTCCCCAGGCGTGGGGCGAGAGCTGGGCGGGCTCTGGGCGCCGGGGCGCCCTGTCGTGTCCCTGGCCTCTGCGCGGGGACTCCGCGGCTCTGGCCCGGAGCGCGTGTGCTGCGGGACGGGGAGGGAAGCGATAACTCGCGTCTGGGCCCTGCCCCTTGGCTGTGCGTTGTCTATGCCCCTCCGCTTCTCAGCTCTGTCCCGGTGGCTTCCGCCATCCATAGCTAGGTTTGGAGCCTAGACGATCTCCTGTCTGCCTGTCTGTCTGTCCCTGGGACGTCAGGCTCGATCCTGTCCCCCAGTTGCTGGGGCCCTATCTATTTGTGTCACCAACTCTGTGTCCTGACCCTGGTGACCTTTTGTGGTCCCGATGGAGCCCTGACCCTCGGTGGTAAGATGCCTCTGGCCTGGGCACGCCACGGGGGTCTGCCCGCCTGTGTGTTGCTGCGGCTGGGTAGGTGTTCAGGGGACAGCAGAGCCCTGTGCCGCCGGGGTGATGGGACCACACTGCAGGCGTTAATGCCTGGTGAGGAGGGCATGGAGTTGCTAGGCCTCTGGAGGTTGGTTTCTCCAGGTTCTTTTTTATCAGCCTCTCCTCCTTCGGACCATCTCGGCAGCCCGGGCGTTTACACGGAATCAGTGCCTCTCTCGATTGCTGATCTAAATCCTGCCGTTTGTCTCTGCGGTCAGCAGACCATCTTACCTTAGATTCTCTGGGTTTCTCACAGTCTCTTCCTCACATGGGCATTTTCTTGAGGTTGTGAGATTGCTACAGATGGTAATCCCGATTCCCACCCCATTTGCTGGGTAACTTTGGCTAGACGCTTAGCCGTTTCAAGTCATTTATGTGTCTGTGGCACGTGATAGGTAAGTGTCTGCTGCCAAAGCTTCATGCTGGCTCATTGTGAAATTCTTTTCTGTGGCCAAAATCCACGACTTGCGTTGAGTTCTCAGAAGGAACAAAAACAAACAAAAAACCAAACCAAACTGCTTGGGGTGGGAGAGACAAGAGTTGGTGGCGCTCTGGACCCAGTGAGGATCGAAAGGAAGGAAGAGAAAGGAAGTCAGTAGTTAGGCCCCGCCTAAGCGGCCTCCATTTCCTTCTGCTGAGGAGTAGCAGACCGCTTCCAGAGCCTGTGGAGACTGTGGAATCAAGATGGCCTTCTCTCTACTCTCTCAATTCTTCCCTATATGCCGTTTCCTTACCCCGAGCCTTCTAGAAGCATGGGGAGCAGGGCTTCACACCCAGCACCCTGATGAACACCATCAATTCCTCTGGCAACCAAACACTGAAATTCAACCTCCATGCAAGCATTCCCATGTCAACTTCTCTGTTCCTTAGCCTGATCAGCCCTTTATTCATCATGATATATTAAAACAGACTGTATTTTGTCATTTTTCTCTGAGTCCTAGAGCAAAGGTTTTTTTAAGAATTAAATGAGAAGATTCACTTGACTCCCCCTCCACCCCCGAAGCCATGTTTGTGCCTTTGCTCAGACTCAGACACAGAATCAGTATGCCTTTGGCTGGAGTTTCCCCTTATAAATCACCAAGGGTGGTGTGTCCCCACTCCCACCACTGCCTTCCTGGCCTCAAGTGTCAGAATGGCCTGACCTAAGATGCCTACTCCACCCTCTTGGAGTGCCCAGTAAAAAGCTCCTAGTCTGCTTCAACAGCAGCCTGAGGTGGGGTTGGAGCCTCTCAGAGCAGCAGCTGGGAAGAACGACCTTCTGCACCCCATCTAAGAAGCACCCCCATTTTCCGTGTTTGCACTGTGTCACGGTGAACATGGATGCGAAACCTTTTCCTTTATTTCCTTTATTTGGCAACTGGGTCTGTATAGCCCTGCTGAGCCTATTACTCATGTGGAGTGGACTAGCCTCAAACCCCCAGAAACCTGTCTGCTTCTTGCTCTGCCTTCCCAGTGCTAGGACTAAAGGCTTGGACTACCACAACCAGCTAAAAGTTTTGTTTTTGTTTTTTGAGACAGGTTCTTGTGTACTACAGTTTATGTTGCAGAGCTTGGCCTTGGCCTTCTAATCCTCATCCATTAAGGCAGTTTTTGACATTCCGAGTTCTGCTCCTTTGGATACATCCCAGCAGTAGTGAATGCTGAGTCCTTTGGTAGATCTGTTTAAGGTTTTAAAGATCTGCAATGTCAATTTATAAAATGGTTTTTTCTAATTTTCACATTAAGAACAGAGTACAAGGATTTCCTCTTTGGCATGTCTGTTTTCTCTCAGCACTTATAATTTGTCTTTTTTTTTTTTTTTTAACTTTTTATAGTTACATTTAGAATGCAGGCATCCTGCTATTTGATGCATTCAGTATGTGGTGTGAGTCTGTTAGAATCCAAGCTGTCAAAAGCCACTGGAAGAGAGCATCCTAGAGTTGTTGGTGAATAGACAGAGTTCTAAGTCTTTTTTCCCTTTCAACTAATTTACCATGGAAGTAGTTAAGTGAATCTAAGTGTTCTTAGATTCAGGGAGGCTTGCACAGGGCCAGATGCCTTTGTTTCCAGAGCTTTAGGGTTTTCTGTATTGTATAAACTGAAGTCCTTGGTACATGGGCCAACTCCTTCAAGAAAGTGGAAGATTTCAGGGGACTTGGAGACTTCATTTGGGGAAACACAGATATAGCTGTCTGTGTTGTAATCCTCAGGAAAGTTCTGTGCATGTTTTCTGAAACTGTTACATTAACAGATTTTTGTGATTGATATTCCTTTCTCCCATTAAACAATTCAAATGTCACTGCTGTGAGACCCACACTCAGAATAGAATGAACCCCCACTTTCTGTTCCAAAAGCTGAAGACTTGTGTTGAAGAGAAATGTGTCATTACAGGAGCTGCTGTCATTTGAGGACATAGCTGTGGACTTCACCTTGGAGGAGTGGCAGGAGCTGGATCCTGCCCAGAGAACCCTGTACAAGGACGTGATGCTGGAGAATTATAGCAGCCTGGTGTTCTTGGGTGAGTGTTTCAGAGTTCTACTCTAAGACAATTGCTTTCTTCTTTAGGTTGATAAGATAGGAATCATTGCTTGTTTAATACTAATTTCATATTATACATTTTGATAGACATGTTGTAATAGTGTATGTGTTTTTGAGAACAGTGGTTTTGTAGGGCACTTTTTATCATTTATAATGATCAGATGAATGTAAGAGGCAAGTTTAGCAGCTTAGACATTACTTCTATTGTAATTTAATTGCTTTCAGTAATACTTGCTGTTGTGTAGAACATGTTACTCATCACTTCCATGTACATTCTAGAAACCAGCACTCATCATTGCTCCATCCCCATCATGTCGTTTTTCATACTCGAGAGGAAACGCTGTTTTCATCTCTACTCCTTTGCTGTCATTTTATTTTGAAGTTGAATAGCATAAAGGCATGTGTGTGTGTGCATGTGCATACATGTGTGCCTGCACATTTCTCTATGTCTTTGACTTTTCTGGGAAACATCTACTCACTATGAATATAAAGGCCCTTCCTATTTTTGGGGTGCTCAATTCTTTATATGTTATTGAAATTAATGACTTGTTAATGAGTAATTTAACAGTGTTTCCTTATTCTGTAAATTGATTTCTTCTATTAATTGCTTACTTTTCTGTATAGATGATTTTGAGATTGCTGTCATCCCATGTGTTGATTCTTGCTTCTGTTCAGCATTTATGCTGCCCATATCTCCTAGGAACTTCATGGTTTTAACTCTCATGCTTAACACCGGATTCACTTTTAGTTGACTTCTACAGTGATGATGAAACATCATTACCTCTCTTTACTTGGCTTGTGGATGCCCTGTTTCTTAGCACAATTTACGCATGAGAACTTCCCTTGTGAATATGAGTTCTTGAGATTTGTTAGAAATCACTTGGTAATGATTAGTGGTCCATTGCACTGACCAAAACGCTGGAGGGATAATTTAAAAGGCGGAACGGTTTGCTTTTGCTTGTGGTTTTGCTTTTAGTTGTCTTGTTTTAGAATTGCAGATGCATCTGTATTTAAAAATCTGAACTACCTATTTAGCATTTTCCACTAACTAGAAGTACAAAGACCTTCACTGCTTGGCTGCTGTCCTTCTATCACTTGTGCCAGCTTGGCCCTTTTTGCTTGCTTGGCAGCCCTGATAGCAGCTATCCCTGAGCTTTCCTGACTCCTGGTTTCTGATCCCTCATGGTAACATCAGCAAGAGGCCCATCAGTGATGGCTGTGGGGATTTCACTACATGCCAGGCACTTTTGAACTTTCCTGACTGCCCTTTTATGTGCTTTTTTAGAGAAGGCAATCTAACTTATCTGGCTAGGATGTCAGAAAAGAACATGGGGATGCATTTTGCCTTAAGAAACAGGAAAGCTTTCCCTTGGGTCCCACTGTGGTAGATCTTAGGCCGGTAGAAGCACAGAGGAAAGATGGTGAGGAGCTTGGCCTGGATGAAGAATATTGTGGCAGCACATGACCTTGCAAAAATTGCTCACCCTACTCTGCAGCCAGGAAGGACTGCAGAGCTGACAGTCCCTTCTAGACTGGTTCCTCACGACATCATTTTCTTGGATTCTCTCCACTAACACCTCCAGAAAATAGAGACCAACAAGTCTTTAACACCTGGTCTTTGGAGGACATTTTAGGTTCAAAGCATAACACTAACTATGTAAGGTTTTCTGTTGTGTTCCCTATTTACGTGTCCCTCTTATACCAGGACTTTGCCCTTTCAGTTCCTATCTCTGTAGGGCACTTTGGAGGCAGGTAATACACAAGGACTTCAAGTTTGTTTTGAGCAAGGTTTTCACAGTTAGAGAAGTGTGTTGTTTGAAACAATAAGATTGTTTAGGACGCCCTTTTCCTTTTCTATTCTCTGAAGATTATCATACTATAACTTTACATAACATATTATTTAACAATTTGGCAAGGAGTTGTTTATTTTTCTTGATTTTCTGAGACAAAATTTCACTGTTTCCCAGGATGGCCTTAAACTTACCATGTATCCCAAGCTGGTCTCATGGCATTTCTCTTATCTTAGTGTTCTGAATCCTGGGATCTTCTCATTGTTTCAAGGATGGGTCATTCTAGCTTATTTTTCTCGGCATTTTTAATTTCATTGTACTTACCTTTCACTTATTGGTTATTAAAAATAGGCCAGGGTTATAGCCCAGTGGTAAACAACTTTCTTGCATGTCTTGAGATCCTGTATTCAATCTCCAGAATGGCAAAAGATAAGTACAAATAAAGAAACAGTAAAATCACTGCAACTTTTAAAACGTGGCCTGCCTGCCTCTGTCTCTCTGTCTCTCTCTCTCTCTCTCTGAGAGTCTTACTTTGACTTTGCCACCCTGGCTGCCCTGTAACTTACTGTATATACCAAGGCTAGCTTCAAATTCACAGAAATGCTCCTGCCGTCGTTATATACACACACACTTTTGAGCTCTTAATTTTTTTCTACAAGTAACATTATTTGCTCTCTAGAAACACTTCTTGTGTTCTCCTTCCTACTTTAAATTTATTTTTATTTATATTTAGTGTGTGCATGCATGCCTGTTGTTTGAGGAGGCCAGAAGAGGGCGCTGGATCCCCTGGAACGGGAGATGGTGTGAGCCACCATGTGGGTACTCTTAACCACTGAGGCATCTCTTCGGCCCCCTTCTTCATTCGGTGGCCTTTGTCTCTTTATCAGATACAGATGTCTAGAGGCCTCAGTGCTGTGTTGGACAGTAGTGGTGAAAGAGCACATCTTTGTCATGTCGGGACCTTAGAGGAAATGACTTCCTGCTTTCTCCATTCCTTATGCTGTAGGCTATGAATTTGTTATATATAATCATTATTGTGTGGAAATAGTCATATCTAATACAATGAGTTTATGTGAAGATGGGGTATTATTATTATTATTGTTTGTCTGTTTTTTCAAGACAGGGTTTCTCTGTGTAGCCCTGATTGTCCTGGAACTCACTTTGTAGACCAGGCTGGTCTTGAACTCAGAGATCCAGCCTCTGCCTCTTGGGTGCTGAGATTAAAGGTGTGCACCACCACCACCACCATATTTTTTAAAACTGCCCTGTATACATCTATCAATGCATTCATATGGTTATCTATTGTTTAATGTATAAATGTGATGATTTAAACTCGTGGATTTCTGTGTGATACACGTGGTGTTGTCAGGTAACCACATGGGTTAAACCAAAAGAAAGTCTTTTGGCAGGCCTGGCAACTACACAGGCTGTTCATGATCCCGGTGTAACCCTGAGCCTTTTAAGCACAAAAACCATGTTCTAGGTTGGTTCAGTTAGGTACTTTCCCAGAACTATGCATTTGATGGGTTAGGGCTTTGTTTACTTTTGGCTGTTGCGGTTTATATGATGCATTTTATGGTACTTCCTTCCGTCATGGAGTCAGTTGTGCTGAGGTCTGGGGGCTTGTTATAATGGGATCCCTGAGATGAATCACGCATGATCCTTTTTAAATAAACTTTTCTTCTTTTTTCTTTTGTTTTTTGTTGTTATTATTTTGGGTTTTTTGTTGAGACAGGGTCTCTCTGTGTAACAGCTCTGGCTGTCGTATCCTGGAACTTACTCTGTAGATCAGGCTGCCTCAAACACAGAGATCCACCTGTTTCTCCCTCCTGAGTACTGGGATTAAGGAACATAAAACGGCATTTGGCCTTTTATAATTTTTTATGTGGTTGCTGTTTTCTTGTCTAGCTTGAAAAACTGAGAGCTTGACTGTTCCCCCAGTAGTTCTTTGATATGCAGCATCATTACACTGTCCTTGGAATATTCAGAATTCTGTTTGTCTTGGAGTTTTACCAGCTTCACTGAAATGCGACACAGAGCCATTGTTGGTCAATCTGTTAGGCTGCCTTTGAGCTTTCTGGACTTGGATGTGCTCATCTATCCCATGATATAAAATGTTTTCACTGATATATTTCATTGACATTATAATGCCTTTTGCCTTTTCTTTTGGAATAGGGCATTTTTCCTTCTTTTTAATCAATGTAAGGGAGTTGGGAGCAGGTGATGTATTATATGCCATGTGTGTATACATAGGGGTCACAGAATAACCATAGATTTTGGTCCTTGTCTTCCCCCTTGAGATGTTGTTTCTTGTTTTTATGCTGTATGTAACAGTTTAGGTGGCCTGTGAGCTTGCTGGGGATCTCCTGTCTCCATCTCCTATCTCTCCATAGGGGTGCTGTTATTACAGACTAATGTTTGCTGTCATTGTTTTGTGTTTTACTTAGTGCCATGTATCTGAAATCAGATCCTCATGCTTGCACAGCCCTTGTATTGATGGAATCATCTCCCCAGCCCCAAATATTTGCTTTCTCAATCACTTTGGAATCTTATAATTTTACTCCCCAGTCCCTGTTCATCTTCTATAAAGCTTTTGACTGGTTCTCCCCCAACATAAAAATATATTTAATAAGCTTGTTATATAAAAATCTAACACAAAAGCTTATCAATAATTGAAACTGACTTCTGGTTGTAGAATATTATGCAAAGATTTGTTGTATAAGCTGTGTTACTTTGCCTGTCTAAAAGACCTGATTGGTCTAATAAAGAGCTGAATGACCAATGGCACAGCAGGAGAAAGGATAGGTGGGGTTGGCAGGCAGAGATAATAAATGGGGGGGGGGTAAATCTGGGAGAAAAAGATGTAGGAACAAGAGAAGGAAGAGGACTCCAGGGCCCAGTCACACATTAAGGAATGGAGTAAGACGTTAAAAAAGATATATAGGATAAAGATAAAAGCCCAGAGGCAAAAGGTAGACAAGGTAATTTTAAGTTAAGAAGAGCTGGCTAGAAATAAGCCAAGCTAAGGCCGGCCACTTATAAGTAAGAATAAGTCTCCATGTATTTATGTGGGAACTGGGTAGTAGTCCCCCTAAAGGATAACCAATAACTTCTAACTGGGAGTGCTTGCAGTTAGGAAAACTAAAACACATTTACATACTCATAACATGTAAGTACAACTGAAGAGCTATGAAACTCACAGAATTCTAGAGATTTACAACATGGTGCCATAAATTCATCTGTAATCAATTGTTTGGTGCTAATTGTGAACAACTATTAAGCAAAGGCAACAGAAATGGGAAGGAATTACATGATTTTAAGCTGTCATGACAAATATGTCTCTTAAGATAGAAAAAAAGCAATGTGAAATTTATTTAAATGACCAAGATTTTTTACTGGATCCCTATTATCAGTTTTGGCAACTTAACCCACTGTTGTAGGCAGTTTTTTACTGGGACTGCCAGCCAGCTCCCAAGTAACCACACAGAGACTTAATATTAATTATAAATGCTTAGCTGATAGCTTAGGTTTGTTGCTAACTAGTTCTTACTGCTTAAATTAACCCATATTTCTTATCTAAGTTCTACCACGTGGCTCATGGCTTATTACTTCATTTTCTACATGTCCTGCTTCTGATTTCTTTAAATCATCACTTCATGTTATTTATCATGCAGTGAGTGACCCTGAAGATAGTATTCCGGTCAACAAAGAATGTGAGAATAAACTCTACCAGAAGCTTTAAAATTGTTAATCACAGTGTCATTCATAAATTGGTGCTATTTGTTATCTTGAAGACCTGATTCAGCACTCTGGTATCATTTGTCTATTACTTCATACTTACAGGGCACTGTATGAAAAAACCTGAATTGATCTTCAAGTTGGAGCAAGGACTTGGGCCTTGGAATGTAGAAGAATCCTCAGACAGGAGCTTCCCAGGTCAGTGAAGGCATGTTGAGCAAAAAAGGTCAACAAGAAGAAAACTCATCAGTAACGGGGTGGATTCAACTGGAGTAATGAGCCTGCTGATGGGGAAGAATGGGAGAGTGCATTGTACAATTAATATGTGATAAGTAAGGTTTTCAAAGTTTGCATTTGAGGGTGTGGTGGTGTACACCTTTAATCCCAACACTTGGGAGGCAGAGGCAGGCAGCTATCCTGGATCTAGCTCTGTAGACCAGGCTGGCCTCCAACTCACAGAAATCCACCTGCCTCTGCTTCCCGGGTGCTGGGATTAAAAGTGTGTGCCACCACTGACCAGCAGCTGTTTCATTTTCATGAACGTGCTTATTATTGTTTTAGAAGGTGGAGGAGATATGTAAAAATGCATTAAAGAGAGAGTTTGGGAGAAGCTGTCTTCTATCTTTGGAGGAAGATGCTTTGCCTCACAAAACCCATGGAATATTCTATTGCTTTTACCCAGTGTGATGTAAACCTTTTAAACACATATATGTAGGAATCCTTTCCCTAACGTATCTTCCTTCTTAGGAGAGAGAACATTTGGCTGTGGCTACATCTTATATATAACTACTTAAAAAAATAAATCTTTCACATGCGAAAGAGGAATGCCATAGATGATATTATATGTATAGTTAATACCATAGAGAAATGGAGCAGCCATGTGAAAATTACTCTTGAAACCCACAGCAGAGAAAGAGGTAAATAGCTTGTCTTTGTGTTCACCAGAAGAAAATGTAAGAGACATGACCAAGCATATAGTGTTTGCTAGTCTCATTTGTTATACAAATCCATGAAGTAATAAAAATGTTTACACTCATTACTAGTAAATATTATTTTAAAACTCCTATGGGGGGTGGGGGAAGCCCACTTCATTTTAGCATTGTATGAAAAGACTAAAGTGTGATTCATGAATAGAGATATTTTTAATCTAATTTCAGATCTTCCTATATTGACTGCCCCAAGTGTGACCAGCCAAGAAAATCACAGGGTGCATTTGTGGCAAATTGGAACTACTCAAGCCAAGGCATCTAGTGAAAAGATTGTAAGTAAAACATTCAGTTTGAACACTTAGCAATTTAAACCTGAACATAAAGAGGGGAACCTATCATCCATAAGAATTTGATGTGAGGCTGGCAAGATGGGTCAGGGTAAGGTGCTGTCTTGTGAGCATTAGGACCTAAGTTTGTCTCCAGAACTCATATAAAAAGCAGAGAGCGGCAACAGGCAGCTGTTATCCTAGTGTTCAGGAGATTGAGAAAGAAGGATGCCTAGGACTTGTGGGACATCTTAACTATCCATATTAGCAAGTTCCACATTTAATGAGAAACCTTTTCTCAAAAAATAAGGTGGACCAGTAATTGAGAGAGGTATCTGATGTCAACCTCTGGTCCCCACCTGCAAACACACACATGATGAACACTTGCATAAAGGTGGACACACATGCATAAACATATATACTCACATATTCCTTACACTCAAGAATGTTTCTTGATATTTAACTTCATAAATTTATAGGGTGCAATTGGCAAACCTCTCTTGCATCCTGCATATCTTCCGCATAACATCAAAGATCTTTAGTATATTTGACCAGTAATATCATTGTAAGCTAACTCAATGTGTTTGATACATAAAGATATCTATAATAAATTCATTAAATATTGGAAATTCATTCAAGTGACACTTGTGTATGTAGCCCAAGAATATGGGTCATGGGAAGTTATCAAACCACTGTTAATATATTTGGAACTCTGTGATCTAAAAGCATAACTCAGTAAATGACAAAGTACACATGTCTGAGAAATATAAATATGACTGGGGGAATCATACCTCTCAGTAAATGACAAGGTACATATTTCTGAGAAATATAAACATGACTGGGGGAATCATACCTCTCAGAACCTCAAGAGCATAAGCCAGGAAAAAGACCTCTTTGAAGGTATAAGACATATAACAGATTGTTTTATTTGAAGGCAGAGCTAAAGGAGCAACAGAAGATTCATCAAGGGTCAGAATCCTGTGGAAATGAAACCTATGAGAAGACATTTTCCCAGAAATCACAGTGCACTGGGAGTCAGAAGCCTCACACATGTAAGACATCTCTCAGTTGTAAGTCAACTGTTGATAAAGGACAGAGACTTCATGAAGAGGAGATAAGCTGTGGGTGTGAGGGATGCAGGAAAGCTTTCCTCCAGAACTCACATGTTACAGAATATCAGAAAGCACCTACAGATATGAAGCTTTGTGAATGTGTAGAATGCAGAAAGGCCTTCTCCTACAACTCAGAACCCCCTAGTCATCACAGAACTCATACACATGAGAAGCCTCATGAATGTACAGAGTGCGGCAAGTCATTTTGCACTCAACATCAGAAAATTCACACAGGTAAGAAGCCCTATGAATGTCTAAAATGTGGAATAGGCTTTTACACTAAGGGAAAACTCACTGTACATCAGATAATTCACACAGGTGAGAAGCCCTATGGATGTACAAAATGTGGGAAAGTGTTCTCCCTCAAGTCTTACCTTACTCAACATCAGAAAATTCACACAGGCAGGAAGCCTCACGTGTGTGCAGAGTGTGGGAAAGCCTTCTACCGATTAGCACACCTTACTTTGCATCAGAGAACTCATACAAATGAGAAGCCCTATGATTGTACAAAATGCCAGAAATCCTTTTACTGCCAATCACAGCTTACTGTACATCAGCGAACTCATACAGGCGAGAAGCCTTTTAAGTGCGTGGACTGTGGGAAATCTTTCTACCATAAATCACACCTAACTCGACATCAGAGAATTCACACAGATGAGAAGAAGCCCTTTGAATGTACAGAATGTGAGAAAGCCTTCTACTCCAAGTCAGAGCTCACTGTGCATCAAAGGTCTCACACAGGTGAGAAGCCCTATGAATGTATGGAATGTGGGAAATCATTCTACCAGAAGTCAACACTCATTCTGCATCAGAGGGGTCATATAGGCGAGAAGCTATACGAGTGTATGGACTGTGGAAAAGTGTTCTATTGCAAGTCGCATCTCACTCTGCATCAGCCAATACATACAGATACACACCCATATGTGTGTCCAGAATGTGGGAAATATTTCTATTATAAGTCACAACTCATTGTACATGGACGAACTCATACAGGTGATAAACCCTATGAATGCAGAGAATGTGGGAAAGCTTTTTCCCGAAAGCCACACCTCACTCGACATCAAAGTACTCATACAGGTAAGAACAGTTTGAATGTAAAAAGTTTAGAAAAGCCTGCTACTGCAGGACACAACTCACTGAACATTGGAGAACATGAGCACGTGGCAGGCATTTTAAAGGAAAGGAATGCAGAATGGCATTTTCCTTCAAGTTACAAGTAACAGACAACTCAAATGAGGAGCCCTGAGAATGGAAAGAATGAGAAACTATACTACAAGTCACAGTTGAGAATAGATTTGAATAAGAAATCCTGTGAAGCTGGGCGTTGGTGGCGCACGCGTTTAATTGCAGCACTCGGGAGGTAGAGACAGGTGGATCTCTGAGTTCAAGTTCAGCCTGATCTACAAAGTGCGTTCCAAGACAGGTTCCAAAGCTACAGAGAAACTCTTTCCAAAAACAAAACAAAAACAAAAAATAAAGGAAGAAAGAGAAAGGAAATTCCATGGCTGTAGCATGCAGGGTACTTCATGCAAGTCACAGTTCTGTAGCATCAGAGAACATAAACAGACCAGAAGCACTATGAATGTGTGGAGAGATGTTAAGCTTTTTCTAAGTCATCACTCAAGGCACATTAGTGCCCTCATACAGACAAGAAGCCTTAAAAATGTAGAATGAAGACATTCATTCTTAAGTCATATCTGTCCAGTACAAGAGGCCACATGGATGAGAATGTAAGAATTGGGATTTTTTTTTAATTGAAAAATAAAATTCAGCAATAAATATTAAGAAATAAACCTGAGAAATCCAGAGAGAACAAGAAATGATTGCCCCTCTCTACTTAATCTAAGAGCACACAACCCCTTGACCCCATCTCTTCCCTGAGTGCCTCTCTTCTCCAAGACCACCACCAATGGTGCCAATCTTGGTTTGGAGGGCAAAGTTCACATTCAGCTGACTGACTAAGAGGAGACCATGTTGATGTCTGTGGTCTGCCCCACCACAGGGGTCCATGTTGGCACTAGAGACCATGTTGAGACCAAAGTCTATGCTGCTGAGGGCCATGTCAGAGTTTGTGATGAGGGCTGCCATAGGAGACGTTGATGTCTATGGTTTCTGATGCCATGTTGATGTCTATGATCTGTGCTGTGGCCTTGGGGGCTGTATTGATGTCCAAAGTCTGTGAAGCCACCAGAAGCCATAATGAGGTCGAAGCCATAATGAGGTCCATGGTCTATGCTGCCTCCGGGGACCATGTTGAGGTCCATTATGCAGCCATGTTGATGTCCATGATCCATGCTGGAACCTAGTTAATGTTTGTGGTCCATGCTGCCCCTGGAGGCCATGATGAGGTTCATGGGCCATGATGTTGCTGGAGATCATGTGGATGTCTGTAGTCTTTGTAACCTGGGGAAACCATGTAGAAGTTCATGATCTGGGCTGCTGTTGGCTGTTTTGGATAATAACAATCTGTTCTAGTGGTATCAATAACTCTAGACTCATAATTGAGAATGAGAGACATTGAAGGCTTCTGTGACAACCTCTACACACACACACACACACACACACACACACACACACACACACAAAGAAACTAAGCATGAAGCCATTAGGAGAGTCCTTAAAAATTAGAATAAAGATGCTGAAGCATAGCTCTTCACAGTTGTTGGCTTCTGGCAAGGTGATGGGATAGGACTCTGTTATCTTTAAGGGTCTGGCCCCTATGAGTTTACCATACTAATGAGTATATGGGCAATACAAATAGTACTTGGTGGATTTGGTGGGCAGGGCACAAGGGTGGGAGGTTGGACCTGGGAGGAATGGGAAGCAAATGTGATTGGGATGCATTATATGACATTCCCCTCTCCCCAAAAATACAAATACTATATTGGGAAAATTCTAATATAAACAAAAGAAATCTATGAAATCTTAATGTCAGTGCATACATGTGGATGAGTAACTATGAATGTGAAAAATACAGAAAAAGTTTCCAATGTAATTTTGTATCACTTTGCATTTGAAATCTCAATTGAAGGAACACACAAAAGTAATGAACATAGAAAAACTGAGAGAGTTGATAGGCCATCCTTTATTTTAGAAACTTGCAAGTGAGAAACCATGTAAGGAAATAATTAGCCATGTAGTGACACATGCTTTCATTGCTAATCAATTAATGTCCTGGTGCTACAGCTTTATTGAAATACAAGAGTTGCCTCAGCAAGACAGCAAAATGCCATGTCATTGAAACAAAAAGGCTGGGTGTAATAGCATGTGCCTCAAATCCTAGCAGAGATGGGCAATTGTGAGTTTGACGCCTATGTGTTCTACATTGTGAGTTCCAGGCCAGCCAGGACTAGATGGTGAAACCCTGCAAAGCATTCTAAGATATGCATACCTTTTGTCACAATTTAAGCCAGGTGCCAAACTTGTCTTCATTGAACTTGGATGACCCTACTGGCACCAGAAATTCAACAAAGATGAGAAATACAGTGAAGGAAATATGAAGCCATAGTTCACCTGTCTTTATTATCAAACATTTATCATAAAATCTTTGAAATGTAAAGATTATGTCATTAGAAAAGAAATTAAATTTCCCTCACATCTTTGGACATCAAATTATTTACAAAAATTCAAGTTGTTGGTTAATCTTAGTTGTCAACTTGATCAGCTCAAGAATAACCTATGTGATCCTCCAGGCAAACCTGTGGGGAGAATTATTATATTATGGTGGGAATGCATACCCACCATGGTGGTGCCTTGACCTGGGCTAGAATGCAGGGCTGTATAAGGAAAAGCAAACTGACCAAGGCAATCATTGCTCTTTGCTTGATGACTCTAGACACAGTATTACAAGCTGCTTCAAGCTATCATTGTTTTAACTTCCCTGTGTTTTGAATAAGAAATATCTCCCATGGGATCATGTATTTGAACTTTTACTTGGTGGTGCTATTTAAGGGTATGGAGTCTGTTGGAGATGTATGTCACTGGTGGTGGGCCTTGAGAGTTTATGTTCTCACCCCATTTCTAGTCCTTTCTGCCTTTTATATGCAGTTGAGATGCTGTACCTCACCAGTATGAAAATCTAGCCCTCTCAAATTATAAGCCAAAATAAATTCTCCCTTAAGATTCCTTTGGTTGTGGTATTTTATCACAGCCACTAAAAAGTAACTAATACAGAACTTGATGCCAAAAAGTTGGGCTGTTGCTGCAAACAACCTGGAAATCTTGTTTACTTGAAGGAACGTGGAAGAGTAAATTAGGGGAGGGAAGTGTGTGACTATTATAAGCAGACATTAACAAACTGTTTTAGTAGGCATAGGAAGATAATGGTGCGTGCTGAGAGGGGAGGCCTGGATCATGAGGTTTCAGAGGGAAATAAGACTATTAGCACTGGACTATAGTCCATTTATGTGATGCTTTGGCACAGGATCTGCTGCCTTCTGCCAGTATCCTAAGAACTTGCATGCAGGAAAATTAAACAAGTAACAGACTCATTTTGGAAATTTCAAGACAATATAATGCTGGCTCTGTAGTATGGCTATTACTGAAAATTCTTAGGCAAGTCTTTATCATAAAACAAACAAAATGTAGTTTGGAGAGAAAAGGAGCCTAAGATGCCCAGTGTAACAGCCAGAGCATGAGCTGAAAGAGGATGTAATTGTTAGGAATATTGATCCTGTTATGAAGAGTTCTTATGCTTTGTACTGGAACAATTGGATGAGTTTCACCCAGCTAAGCTTTGAACTTGTGAAAAAGGTAGAGCTGTGAGGTGCCCTGCTCCTGAAAAAACAACAGCATGCCAACACTAATGCTAACTGTGTTCTAAGGGAACAAGTGCTGGTCTCAAGTGGCACTGTTATCCTCATGGTTCTGGCCTTTAAAGAATGAAAGACGAAGAGGAAGGGATCATGGATTTGTCTTCTGTGGTTTCTGATAGCCACTAAGATCAAGTAATGTGTGGGAGGGCTGTCTTCCCTGTAAAAATGCTATGGGGGGCTCTTGCATGAGGCTGTGAAAGTGAAGGCCAGGTTGCAGTGAAGACCGCAAGCTGTTGGAAGTAGATTCCAGAGCCACAAGATGCCTGCCAAGAACTGAGTATAAGGAATAGAACCAGCTAAAGAGAGAAATATGTTACTGTAACTAATTTTTCCCCATCCCACCAACTAGCTTCCAAATGACATGAAGACATAAAAGTATGAAAGCTTGCCATTTAGCTTAGGCTTGTTTTTAAGTAGCTCTTACAACATAAATTTACCCATATTTTTATTGATGTATATTCTAACATGTGGCTTCAACTCTAACCATTCCATATATCTAACTCTTCCATGTCTAGCTGGCATCTCCCAGACACCTTGATTCTTCTCTCCCTGGAAATCCTGCCTATACGTCCTGCCAAGCTATTTGGCTTTTTTTTACACCAGTCATAGCAATACACTTTTGCACAGTGCACAAATACCTCACGTTTCCCCCTTTTGTCTAAATAAAAAGGAAAGGTTTTTAGCTCTAAAATAGTAAAACTATATACAATAAACAATTATCGGATAAGAATTAAAATGTCCACTCCATTTGTATTTGGCATATTTGGAGGAAATGCTCTATTGTCTATCCTATCTTAATGAGTCCAAAGTTTTGTACCTCATTTTTTATCAAAAATGGAAAAAAAACTATAACTATCCAATCTTCAACCCCATTAGAGACTCAAGGATTAACTGATTAAACAGGAAGTGCAGAGCAAGCAACTTCCAAAACGAAGAAATGACAGAGACAGCTGGCTGCCTGGACAGTCACCACAAGGTTCCTCTGCAAACTTGGGGCATATATCTTTGATCTACAGGTCTAGAATATCTGACAGTTTTCTGTGAAGCAGGAATTTTAAAGGACTGGCCTTTGGCAGTTACCTTCTCTTATGACCTGCTCATCCAATTTGGACAGCATACTGTCAGCAGTCGAGGCAAAGGCAGTTTCTTACATAAATGACCAACTTTGCCACATGAAAGCAAACTCCATATGGAGGTTCTTCTATGCCACTATCCTTTTTAAAAGTAAATCAGTGCTGCCAGAAGTAGATATGTCTCACTATCATGAAAAGCCTTATGTTATTAAAACATTTTAAATGTCATATTCTGTAGTTCCTTAAAGTATTTGAAGACCATCTATCCAAAATATATGTTTGACCTTGAAATATCTAATATGACTATAAGTTCAATTGTTATAGATAGATGAC